TACTGTATATGTATTCTATCCGTTACCCTAGTATCCCATAACACTAGCCTTACTGGGCTTTCTTTGGGGCTAGGCTAATTGGTGTGATTGTTGGAAATATTTATTTTATTTATTTATTTCTTGTCTTTTTTTATGTTAAAACAAAGTATGACCCGCCTGATGGTAAGCGGTCATCATAGCCTTTAAATATATATACATATATATAAACGCTTGCTATATTTAAAATATTACTCGTAGCTTTGCCTACCCTGACCCAATTCTCTACCCCGTGGAGCAGTGGAACCTTAATCAAACAACACCACCAAAAGGTAGTGTAATTTTACTGTGGTGTTCTGAAAGGTGGAGGTTACTTCCCCAGAGGGACGCTCCATTTTCCTACCTCTCTTACTGTTTTGTCTTGTCTTCTTTTTACACACTCATATAGTGTACAACTGTTTGTTATCCCTGATATAATAAAGTAAAAAAAAGATTTTAAGAGAGTAAGGGCAGATTTTAATTGAAGTATTTGAACTCTATACATATATAAATATATATGTAACTCTATACAAATGTATATATTACCATGAAACAGAAAGTTGCCAGAAGGTTGGGTCACGCCAGAGTCTAACAAAATAAACATTTATATATATATTTTTTAAAGCATGTAACTGATTGACATTTAAATCTAAAGAAAGTATCAAAGTATTCATTTGACATTGTGGGTTACCTATAATGAGAAGCGATGGCGCTGCCTTGCAGCTTAAGAATGGCTAGAGGAATTTCGACGCGGTCCGTGAGGGCCGCGGTAGCATAATTGGTCAGTGCATTCGCCCGGATTGCGAAGGTTGCGGGTTCGAGTCCCGTCTGCTGCCTGGTCCGTGTGGAATTTTTTCTAGTTATATTTTCTTTAAAATAAACATTTTTGAACTTTTGGCCGATTTTTAATAAATTTAATACTTATATTATTTTTATTTATAATTATGAATTATTATTTAATTTATTAGTGACTAAAACAAATAAACCTTTGAATAAATTATATCTTTATATCATTGGTTAGTATAAAATACCAACTGACAAAATTTGCAGTTTGTCTAAATTATGACTCTATTGAAGAGTGTAGTTTACCAACCCATAACAGTGTTGCTCTGTTTATGAGGCTTACATATTATGGAATGCACAAATATACATGTCAAGTTTATCCAACTAGCTTCGAGCTTTTTCTTGCTTATTTTATGACTAGCGGTCGCCCACGACTTCGTCCGCGTTAACTGAAACTCTGAGGAACCTAACAGGATTTTTCGGGATAAAAGTATCCTATCTCAATCCAGAAAATAAACTTAATGTGTTCCAAATTTTATCCAAATCCGTTCAGTTGTTTTTGCGTGAATGAGTAACAAACATACAAAAACAATTTCACATCGATAATAATAGTAGGATAGGATTTACAATGGGAAGAGTTTTTTTTTTCATTCTTGTTGTACTTGATACAATTTCACCGATGTATTGATGCCTTTTTCATAAAAATACGATAAAGTCATTCCTGAGGCGAATAATGCCTACGTTGTACCGTATTGATTAATTGATAAGGTTCTCTTGCGTTTAAAGAATAAACTCGGTACTTTTTTGCTTATTAAAATATTACGCGACGGGAAAACTTCCTCTCAGCGAATATTTTTTGCGAGCGTAGATGTTTGGTTTTAAGTATAAAAGGTTGTTTTGATTTTGATTAATAAATTTATTAGATATTGGTAAATTATGATCACCAAATGAATTTCAGTCATTCCAACAACACCAACAGAAATTTACGAGTATTCAAAATCTAACCTAATATGACTGCGATATTTACCGAAAAGCGAGCAATTTGACGGTTGGTTCACTTCGTTGTGCGTGATCGCAATATTTAACTTAACCAATGTTGCCTATACGTACTCATATTTCCACTTGCGATTGTGTGAGATTGAAGGTTCAAAATCCAAATGTAATGTTATTGTTATATTTTTATTTTTGAAGCGAAAACTTCTTTAGCGGCGTTGTACACTTTTTTTGTATGGGTAAAAAATGTTAAACTCACGTCAGGTTAAACACGTGGCCTGATCGCATCATGACACACAATAAAATTGGAAAGGTTAACTTTCAATATATTGAACGAAACATAGTAATATTTTATTTTATCGTATTATAATAATAAGTTTCTATCTAGGACGTCCACGTGGCAGCTTTATTGCGAAGAAAATGCATTTTTTACAATAGATGTCGCTAGGTGCGCTTAAATGTGATTCATGTAAGTTGATTTCTTTACAATAAATGTCGCTAAGTGCGCTTAAACGTGATTCATGTAAGTTGATTTTTCTGTGAGATAAACCTTTTTTAATGTAATATAAATTGTCATGTTTGTGTACGATAGCGCAATAAATAAATATTGTATTCTACCACATACATGATAGCACTTTTATACTGATAATTAAAGCAATTCGTGCAAAATTATTCCCTTACCATTCCAAAATATCAAAAATGCACAACGTTAATATTCAAGTTTTCACTTCTGCTGGAGTGCAACCCGTCGTTTTTTTAAGCATTTAACTGCTAAATGTTTAAATCTAAAGAAATTTTTACTAGAATAAATTCCACACGGACCAGGCAGCAGACGGGACTCGAACGCACCCTTCGCTATCCGGGCGAATACAATGCGAAAAGATGGAATTGCCTTGCAGCCTAAGAAATGCTAGAGAAAATTCGACACAGCCATCAAGGCAAGGTTGCATAATAATGGTCAGTGCATTCGCCCGAGTAGCGAAGGATGCGAGTTGGCGTCCCGTCTGCTGCATGGTTCGTGTGGAATTTATTATAGTAAAAATAAAAATATCTCTAGATGTAATGTTATTGTTTTCCTGCTTGTTACAGTACTTATGACCAGATTTCCTGTACTGGTCAGTACATAATATATCATTATCTATTCTGGACAGTGTCTCCAGGGGGAAACCTATCAATACTTTTCCACCTATTTCGTCCAAATCTACCAAACCCAGAGTGGATTTTCGTTACACTTCGCAGTGCCCTATCTCTAATCCAAATAATTAAAGGAACAAGTATAACCAAAGTTGAACGACGTTACTTAATTGATCAAATGTATTCTTATTAAATCCGGATTTGCATAATATTGTGAGGCTTCAATCTTAAACGGGATATAAATCGTTCACGGGGTTTAGTTTGGACCCTTCGCAAATCTGGTTGGAATTGTAAGTTATTTCCATTTAAAGTGTGCTTAAGGGATTATAATGATATAATACCGATTATCACAAATAGGACTATCGATTCAAACCAAAACAAACATTTTACTTGAATCTATTTGCCGGAATTTAGATAAACATTTATATCCCTAAACATAAGCAGTACAAATAAATAATTTCTGAAGCTACATATATAGCGACAAACATGTAATAATGTTGACGACCTCAAGTCGAGATTCTAAGGTAGTAGACTGGTTCAATCTTAATAATTTACTGCTTAATGAAGCTAAACTGAGTGTTTGAAATTTGTATTACCTAATGTCAAACAGGTAAATTACAATGTAAATATAAAGTATAGAAATATGAGCCTTGTAGATACTACAACTACAGTGTTCTTAGAAATCACACTAGATTCTAAGCTGCAATGGGGCCCACATATTGATAAATTGTCAAAGAGACTTAGTTCTGCAGCAAATGCTGTAATGAAAATATGTCAGTTAACGGATATAGAAACTACCAGATTAGTCTACTTTAGTTATTTCATAACATAGTGTATGTTTCATAGTAATGTCTTACGGTATTTTACTGTGGGGAAATGCCGCCGACATTCAAACTATATTTGTGTTGCAGAAGAGGGCTATGCGATCAGTCTACAATCTTAAAGTTAAGGAATCCTTAAGAGATAAATTTAAAGAAATAAGCATAATGACAGTTGCATAACAATACATATGTATTCTATCCGTTACCCTAGCATCCCATAACACAAGCCTACAGTGCTTACTTTGGGGCTCGGTTAATTGGTGTGAGTGTTGGAAACATTTATTTATAAAGAAAGTGTCTGATTATATTACAGACACCAAAGCTTGGGTTAGAACTGTACAAACCATTCCATCGGGTATTTCTTTTCGATATTTATTATGAATCATGTGTTGACGATACCATAATTGAACTGAAAATCTGTATTTCAAGTTTTACGTAATCTACTCGTTTAAAAAAACGTAAGGAAGAATATCAGACTATTTAGGAATATTTGTGGTTTCTCCATTGCTTTTGCTTTTAGATAAATGACCTTAACTTTAAGTTAATATATTGTAGTTAGTATAGGTGGTTATTTATGCTCTCTTAAAAGTCTCTTCGGTGGTGTCGTGTACCTTACGTTCCCTAAAATATGGTTGAGCGAAGCGATGACTGGTTCATTCTTCATGTTCGTGAGCGGGTGCTGCCAGTGGAGATGAGCCTGACCTTACTACTTTGATATTAAAAATGTTAATGTACCTACCTAATATAAATAACACTATTTGTATTTATACTGTATGACACAACACTCAAAATGCAGGTGTACTATTAATGTCTTTCACATTATGTAATGAAAGGTGACTTCATGAATCATCTCTGAAGTCGTTTTTCAAATTGCCGACTCTGTAAATAATAAAACAGGGAGAAAAAAACAGCCCTTGCTGAGTTTCTTGCTGGTTCTTCTCAGTACAAGGTCTCCCAAGGTAGATTTACGAACCGATGGGTAGCTTCTAGACATTCATGTGTGCTTGTAACAGCCTAAATTGAACAAGTGATTTTGATCATGATTATTATGATTATGACCTTCGTAGTGGAGATTTATAAATTATGTCTTGGTAAACATAGTTTAGTATAGGTGCAATACAATAAGGTATACCTATAGTCCACACACCAGATATCAATTTACATTCTCAAGCCTTATCTCGATGACACCACTTTTATATTGTGTATACCACTAAAATGTTAAAATTTACATTGCCCAATTTCATTTGCTCACAGAACCTCAAGAACCAGATAATGACAACAAACCTCTGGGTGGAGCAGTCGTGGTATGACTACAAGCTGCGCTGGGAGCCGAAGGAGTACGGCGGGGTTCACATGCTGCACGTGCCATCAGATCATATTTGGAGGCCTGACATCGTACTGTACAACAAGTGAGACCCACGCAGACCTCAACGCAACAACCCCTTAACTAAGCTTACTAGACATCGCGATGAAGGCATGGCGTATTCTTCCCGCATCTTACTCGAGTAACTCGAAACGTCGGGACTTGCTTGCTTGCACTACAAGTGAGATCCGTGCAGACCCTAACGCAAACACCCCCTAACTATCTAAATATCGCGAGGAAAGTATGACGATTACCTTTTGCATTTTACTCGATAAACTTCAAACGTCGTTTGTTGCTAGCTACTAGTAAACAAGACCCACTCAGATCCCAACGTTACAACCCCGAATGAATCTATCTAGCATTGCATCATATGCATGACATATTCTTGCGGCATCTTCAAGTATCTGTATTTTATTAAATCCATAGATTTAAATCAAAAAGTGTACCTATACTTACAGCTCAAGTCAATCACATAGCTTATTTTTGGCGGCCAAGAATAAAACATTATTATGTATATGAATGGGATGACATAGATCGCTTATCCGTTTTGAAAAATATGAAAATTGAAAAACGGATGCGTTAGTGAAATGATTTAGAAGCTGGGAAAGATCTACTCGCATATCACTCTGAAGGTAGTAGGCGCCAAATAGCGTGAACACCAGCGGCCGCGTATGAAAATAGTTATGATCTCTGTATCAGGGCTTGTTTACCGGTTAATTTTCAAACCTAAATCAGTGTCAAGTACATAAGGAGCGTTTTATTTAGGTTTGGCTCTACCTTAACCTTAAAAAACCGGTTTTCCTAAAGAGCGAAATCAAATAGGTTTTGAATCAATTTAGCGGTTTTTAAAGGGTTTCATTTCGCTCTTTCTGACGACGATAATAAATGATTAACTTGACTCACTAGACGCTAGCAAACGTGTCAATAAATGCACCAATCTTTCTGCATTAACAAGTTGTGACTTGATTAGTTCAAACAAAACAAACTTCAAGCGATGCCGACGCGTGCACGTGTCGCTCTGGATTAAACCGGTTTATTAAGGTTTTAGGTACCGCTTTCATTTCGGACGCGCTCCGAATGAAACCTTTACTAAAAACCGGTATTAACCTTTATTTACCGGTATTTACGAAACCGGTTTCAAGCCCTGCTTTGTATAACCCCGCCCGCGTGAAGATGTATGTCCGTGCGAGTGTGTATGTTTGTGTGTGCGTGTTGACACATATTCGGTTCGAAGGACAACTTGTAGGTTGATAGCTGAGTTAGATGCACACTAGCACTGGGATACTACGTATATTAATTTACATGAATTATTTTGCGAATCAGTGATCGTTAATCCTGAATCCTAATGATCAATAAATTATTCCAAGCTTTTACTAGATTTTAAAATTGAATGAAATTTTAATATTTTCAAGGCATAAGTATATTTAAATTATCATCGAAAAAATAGTACCTGATCCTCGAAAAATACGATTGGTAACCTGACCTAACTTTTAGGCTAACAATTGTATTTTTAGGAGATCATTTATTATTTTTCATTGAAATATTTCCTATTTTTAATTATGGGGTAACTTTTAGTAAAATGCCTTAAGGCTCAGAAACGTGAGGTATGCGTGACGCAATCATCGCGATGACTAAACACTATAATTTAAAACAGAGCGGGCAAAGTAGCGATATTCAACAATTACCTAAATTCTGTACTTTTAAGAACACCAAGCATTAGGACCTTTTTAATACTTGCCACAAGTTTGAAATTACAATAACGAGAGACTCCAAAAAAGGTATAATTAAGCAGGTGCCCAAAAAAAAATTAATTAACGTCTGAAAATTTTCAGCTTTGAAATGGAGACTGACTTGTAATAACCTTTGGTGTAATGTATCCAGTTTTGTAACTGAAACTTAAGACTAACTTGCAACGTTAGTTACGCGGCCAGTCAATGATACACACACACACACTTCGCGAATCACTTTGTGTGCTACATTACAAGTCAGTGCAGGTTGCAAAATCTGTCGTCGACATTCTTACAATATTTACACAGTCAGTAATCTCTTGGTTTCTAATAATATTCATTCAATTCGTACCACAATTTTCGATTCTTCTTTGGTATAAATATTTTAAACAATATCGTTTTGTTCTTTTTCAAATTACCATAACTTAGTAAAACTATTGGAGCACACACAATCTCTGTGTATGCTCCATTTCAAACAAAAGTGTATGCTGTGTGCAGAGTCTCCTTTATATTTTAGACGCATTTCGTCAACTCACAATAGCGAAGCTTTCAACACTGGTAAACAGCAATATAAATCACACCTTTCCCATTTTTGTATTTGAATGTATACGGCCAACATCAATCTAACGATTTACATAATTACATTTGCGGGTGTACTTTTCCATGTTAAGGCTTTCATTTCATTAGAAAAGTACTTAGCGTTTCAGTTTTGATACTTACACAAATAAAATGAGTGAACTTTCCAACACAAAGCTTTTACAAAAAGAATAGAGCTTGTTGCTCGTTTATAGAAAAAGTTTGTAACTTACCACTTGGGCAGAGTGAAAAGCAACCAAATCTATTTGAATTACGAAAAAATATCGGAGTTCCTTTTCGATTATCATAACTTCATTTCCAGAAATCAATAACTTACCCCTCACAGCAGCATTTTCGGAGTAAAATGAGTGACGTCACCTTGATGAGATTCCTCACGTAAATGGGGACTTCAATTTCAATCAATCTGCCACGTTAGAAGAAAATTTATTTTATGCTTTATACGGACCCAGAAATGGCTAGGTAGACGAAGAAAATGTAAGAAGGTTCGTAGTTTTAAACGATTTGGGCGTCTCCCGTATTTGCCTACTCGCTACACTTAAGCCACCTCCATTGTCCTATTGTTTGGAGTGGAAGGTAAATCTATGATCCAACGGAATTCGTGGTTGTTCAATATCTTTCCCTTACAGAACGTGAAAAGGTTTGGGTACAACTTAGGCAAATGTGACGTCACTAATGTGAGGGTACATGAGTATAATTACACTGAATCTATTATGAGAAATTATTTTTTTAGAGATAATAGCAAATGTAAAAATATTTGTCTATTTCATCATGTATAAATTATATGTTAAATTCAAAAATAACACATTTCTAGTAAAAATATTAACAGAAGTTAAGATGAGAGAGTAAGTTTTCAGTTTGTTGTTAAACTACAATACTGAAAAAGTCACAAATCCCCAAAAACGTTGATGATCCAAAGCTCTGTAGCATGCCTGATAAGTACAATTAACATAAATTAACATGATTACAACAAAACTCTCACCCGACCATTTTTAATTTAAGCCTTAAATAATTAATTAATGCATAAAACCGACATCGCAAGTACACAGATGAAAGCAAAGTTCTTCCATTTACATCTGCTTATTTACATTTTCTTTATGTTATAAATATTTTGCATTATCATCGCACCGTATCTTCGTAAGTAACTCCGGTTCTTTTCATTGTCTGCCTTCAAGAATTATTATTTACATTCAGAGTTGCTGAAGGGGTACTCGCTGAAAGAGATTAAACACGGCTACTTATTTTTGTACAATATCGCTATTTTCCCCGCTGTTAAAAATTAGACCTAAGATTTAAACGACCAATTAATGTCTTTTAAGTTTTATGAACATCTTTTACATGTTTTACATCATTTATGTCTTTTTTTCAACACCCTAACACATCCTAATCTCAACACTTAACATCATTGCAAGATCTATGTGTGTACCTATATCTAAATATGTTATTTTTATCTCTAATTGTTACAGCTTGATATCATACTCACCTGTCAATGTTAAAAAAAAAAACATTTTTTATTTTGCTAGAGTAAATAATTAAAAAATGATCATCAATTAACATTAACATTATTTAAAAGGATTTCTTTCCAATTTAAAAACAAGTCCTTAGCGCATACTCATTTCATCATCAGCACCTCAAAGCACATTACGTAATAAAGCTTGAGATAAAGCAAAATGTACAATCAGATTAGTATTGTGTTGCTCAAGAAGAGAGGAGCATCGCAGGCGTGTAAATGTGATAATGTGATAATAGTTAGCTATTCACGGCACACAATGATGGCTGATAAGAATGGCGCATCAATTGAGCCTGCTGGCTTTGGAATGTTACTTATATCAATTCTGGAAGGGAAATATCAATAAATAATAAAAATATAATGATAACGATAACGGGAAGCACATATTGAAATACCTGGAATTGCCGCTTTTCTCCCACAATAAGAGTTATTTATTGCGAATGCGGGCCATAGTGAAATATTACGACGGCGCCCATCTTCAAAAAAAGCATGAATTCCCTTTTGTGAACCTTTTCTAATAGACGCTTAGACCCTCTGTGTTTGAGCCAGCTTAAACATTTGCATGCTTACTATACCACCGAGACCAGTCTAATGACCGCGCATTTTACTTTTTCATTTTATATTTAGTCATCCTGTAGACGGGAATAAAAGCACCCGCAGTTCAAGAGTCCGCAAGAGTCAACATTCAAGCAAAAGCTTTAAATGAAATTAAAATTGGTATGTAAAGGACAGTTTTCGAAAAACCCAGTTTCTTTTGATGTACTCACATAAGCAGGATAAAATAGTCAAAGGTTCTAGTCGATGAAATAAAATATGGTATCAGAATAGAACTTAGAAGCAAGCATTACAATAAAAAACGTAATAATTAAAACCAAAAAATTACTTATAGTAAAATCAAATTATATTATAAAACTTGTTTCATAAAGTCCTGGATTTCATACACTTAAGTTAGATAGGTACCTACTATACCACATTTCAATTAAAATCGATTCCGCTAACTTAGTGGAAACATAAACTTTGGTGACAAGGACGAAGCTAAATAGACATAATTAGGAAGATAAAAGATTATGCGCGGTGTAAATTGCTATGTGGAGTAGGCACTCATCGCCTCCCCCGAGGAGATCGACCGCTCGAAACTTCCGAGTACTTGTATCCAAATTATCTTCGAGTCGGGCAATAATTTTACGCGCATATTTCATAATTATTAAATTATGTAACCACGTCCGTCACCGAACCGCCATCCGGAGGGCCCGGAGGCCCGCTTCGTTTAAGATTCTTTTATGTTCTGTGTTTGATGAGTAAATAAAATTGCAACGCAGCATTATATATGTTTGGCCTCAATAATTTCTGTGTCAGTTCTTCAACAGCTGTAGTTCAATACGGAGTTATGAAGTTAATAACTATCGTGATAATTTCACTTCTCTTTCAATTGGTAAAATATGACGTGTCTAAATTTCGAAAATGAGGTATGTATTTTCTAAAATGTTTAATTATGACATTGATTGTTATTTTTAGGTGATGAGTGAAACGGATCTAATTAGTCGAGTGAAAAATTTATGGGAAATAGTAAAACATTCCGTAGTTAAACTGATGCATGATATGACGACGGACATAAAAGACATTTTTTCGAACGCAATTAGTGCCATGGGACGATTATTACACTGCTCAGGGGCTGAGAAGACCGCAATAAAGTAACAATAAAAAAATGTTGATCACAAATAAAGTGTAACCGGTTAATCAAGCGATTAATATAGTTTTTAACAGTGTTGTATCAAAGACTTTGCAATAGGATGTTGCGCGATATTTTAGTTGAGGTAATGGGCGCTGTGGTTGATTTATACGTTGGTATTCATTTTGTCCGGGGCAGCACCTAGCAGCGACACCGCCAGACTTTGATAAATGACCCAGACAGCAATCGTTACTCATTTCCGATCCTTCCGTGCAACCTGCGTCTTTCCCTTCGAACCTTTTTGCTCCCAACCTATCCAGTAGAAACTACTGGCATCCTCTGAATTACGTTTAAACGTCTGCGTTGTTATATACTTCCTTATATTAATTTATGTTTATCGTACGTTCTCATCTGTTACTCATGTTTATGAGATCACATTTTTTGCTTTTATAATTTTAAACTAAATTTAATAAAGAAACTATTTAAACATTCAATGCTAAATTGTTATTTTTGTGAATGCATGATACGAGTGTTAAATGTTGTGCTTGATTTTTGTGTTGAATGAAAATATATATCGTGAAGCGGGTCGCACGCCAGCCGTGCTGGTAATCGGCGTAAATAACAGATGTGACAGGTGCATTTTCAAGCTCCGCCGGCCCCTGTCAGCCAGCCCGGTGGATCGGAACATATTTCAAACGCCACTCAAATTTCTGTTCATTGATGTTTTAGATAACCGAGGAGCGAAAATGATTGGAATGTAGCATTGAGCACAGCGCCCCGTCGATGTTGAATCGCTTAGGATAGTACCTATTTTTATTCGAACATTATACGAAGCCTTTTGTGTTCCGTACGACATCTGCGAATGACGAATTTGATTGGGTACGCACATACAATTTCTATGTCAATAAACACTGCCATTTGTTCACTTAACAGACTTACTATACATTAGTTTGTTACTATTCCACAAAAATAATCTAATTTCGTTTGAACTATACTCATCAGGAACAGGATTTCACAGTACAATCGGGGTTGTTACAATTAACATAACACCTCAGAAGTAAAATGTGGTTACACAAAGAGACGTAGGGCTGCATGCGAGCGGCGGCGTGTAACGTGCGTTAACATTACAGTGCCGACGGCAACTTCGAAGTAACGTTGGCGACCAAGGCGACCATCTACCACCAGGGGCTGGTCGAATGGAAACCGCCCGCCATTTACAAGTCTTCCTGCGAAATAGACGTGGAATATTTTCCGTTCGACGAGCAAACGTGCGTTCTTAAGTTCGGTAGCTGGACGTACGATGGATTCAAGGTAATTGCCCGGAGCTCCGCCACCGCTTCCGCTGACAGTTCTGTTTGTCCGCAGCGCCGACGGCAACTACGAGGTGACGCTGATGACGAAGGCCACCGTGTACTACAACGGCATGGTGGTGTGGCAGCCGCCTGCCGTCTATAAGTCCTCGTGCTCGATCGACGTCGAGTTCTTTCCTTACGACGTGCAAACCTGTGTGCTTAAGTTAGGCAGCTGGACGTATGACGGCTTCAAGGTGACGCCCCGCTGTACGCTGCTTGCGCCGCGCGCGCGGGCCGTAGCCGTAGGGCCCCGCCCCGGCCGATGTCCATGCAATAGCTTGTTGGCTCGAACGTAAATCGTCGTGTAATATTATATTACTTTCTGTCCATGTGGTATGTTCTCACTCTTACATATTGACTGTATGATGGTGCTAGAGTAGAGGCGTAGAGCGCGCGTGTCGTGCCGCCGCCCGCTCCTCGCCCTCGGTTCGTAGCTCTGACATGTTGCAAGTTTACTTTTTGCTGGTGATGTTTTAATTATGTGGAGTAGCGGTATGTCGACGTGCGTGACCACGAATGCTCCAGAACGTCCTCGGTCGATTCCACTTAGCTCAATCGGCCTTCCTCGCTCGACAAGGAAAGGTATAAAATCTTAACAGCCAGGTGATATGGGATGCAAAAATTTCACTTACCGTTCCCACCCGACACCCGCTCCTGCTCCGTTTGATTCTTTCCGCACTTGGGACACAATAAACTTTTTCATTGTTAACAACATGCCTACATTGTACCAATGATAATATTTTATCCAAAGCAAAGTAAGTAATGCGGAAGGTGTTCATACGGGGCTCCCACACAATCCTCACTAGCTGGCTCCGCTCGCGCCACACAACACACTGGACACTCCCACACAGAGCTTGTTGCATGTCTCCTAATGTCGATGTACACGTACTGAACTCACCGCATGATCTAGCTTCACTCCGAACCACTTGCATTCCCGATCACGGCGGCCGCTCGCCGCGGAACGCGGTCGCGGCTTGACACAGCTTCACACGATACCTTACACGCGAACAGTTAAGCACAGCACGTGAATTAAACAGCGGTAAATTTCCACACTTGTTGCTCTATACACTGTCGAGCATAACAATATTCATGATGCATATTTTATACCTTTCCCTTCCATAAAGAATTCGGTGTCGCTGGTCGCTCGCTCATTGCATGATTGTCATTGCGAAAAGTCGCCGACCTACTCAAAATTAGACACGGAGTCCATAAATTATTATTACAAAACAGAGCTGGATGTTTAACGTAGTTAGGGAATCTTGTCAGCCGAAATGGGACCACAGAAATCATTTCGACCGACGAGCTTCTACTTGCATGCTGTGCAACACTCGAACTTAAAAGTGTCTGATTCCAAAATAAGTCGTCTTTAAATTCTAAATTTAATATTTGTAAATATTTAGTAAACTGCTGCTGTGTTTGGAATCAGACGCTCGCGTCAGGAACGCGGCGTCCGCGCGACACACACATGCGCAGCGGAGCCGGTGCCTCCGCCCCTATATTTCAGCTTTTTGGCAAACCGTTTAGAATCCTGCGGGCTATTCTGCATACCCAGCATTTGAGATACAAGTAGCCCCCGGGATTGTGTCCGAGATCGCCTACTAATCCAAAAAAGAGGCAGTCTCTACCCAATAATAATGTCGAAACTTCACTTTTCATTACAACTCAGTGTTTTTTCTGTGTTTTTACACTTTTGTGATTTTATGGCATGATTCCGAACATTGTTGTGATATTTTGTCTTCTTTGAGCTGCAGTCAGTTTTAAAGGATTTTGTCTCAAGTTTTGAATTTTGTTAAACCAGGTACATACTACTTGACACACTCTGTGGTATGGCTTTTAGAGGAATCCACTACGGAGGCCGCATTTGATGCGATTTACTCGAGAATCTAAGTAGCTGAATTGTTACTGAGAGTGAGTGCGTCTCGGAAGAGTTATTTATCTCCCAACAATAGAGGAGTTAATGGTCCTTAAACTCAGATTGTGTGAAGGGTGCATGTATCGAATATTCTAAATTAAAATGTTTAAATAAGGAGAAACAATAATAACATCATTATTTCATTCTTCAATAATAACATATCAACTACTAATACGTAAAGCAAAATATGAGTTTTATAACTACATTATACTATTTCAAAGTATGTCAGCTTTGCTCTACGTATATAGCTGGTAGCTAACTAAACTAAGTAGAAATTAAATGCATTATCAATAAAAAATGATTGGCTCGTATATAGATGTAATTAATGTTAATTAAAGTGTTTGTATGTTCGTCGTTTCGTGTTATAAGTATTTTAGAATATTTGTTATTTCTTGTTTATCAATTTCGAAATAAATAACTTAATCCTAACAAATCTAAAAATCAATATTTATTGCTAAAATAAAACCGCTCTCTGTGGTAATTGTTAAAATTTATCTTAATCCTTTAAAGATATAACTGAAAATAAGTCTAGTTTAAAAATGGCCTATTTTAAATCAGCTAAAGGGGTAGGCAAAGGCTTTCAGGCGTATAAGTAGGTATTCTTATCTATCACTTTGAAGAGATGTGTTCCGTAAAATATTGATTTCTTCATAATAAAAAGACAATGGAGAAGTGGAAATTAATTTGTTCCATTTAATGTTTATCTATTTAGGTAAGGTATGTAACTAAACTGATAGATTACAAGAAGGTATGGTAGGTACAGAGATGCTTTTATAGTCGACATCAACTCGGTGGATGCAAATTTATATTAACTTAACAGTACCCACCCACCTTTATTAGAAGCGTGTGTATCCACTGCCATGGTGTCGACTTTTACAAATATATGCAACGCCACAGAGTAAGAATATTTCATACAGCGCAGATTACTTGAATATCCAGTATATCATTCAAAGAGTTTCGTATATCTATGAAGAGTATCCTTCTTTGTCTCTAATCAAAAGTGTGGCTCTACTGTATGAATGATTCCTTATGCTGTGGTAAGCACGGAATATATATAAAGATTGGAAGGGTCGTGTTAGCGTGGCATCGCATGCGGGTCCCAAAAAAAATTAAGTGAAGGAAACTGTTACGGACAAATCTAAGGGATATCGACAAAAAAATATCAGTTTTTCCTTGCTTTTCCACTGCGAGTAGGCGCGAAAATGAAAACGGCTTTAATGCAAACTAAGACTGGTTGGCGATTCCGTTTACTATAAACTTTTTTATATATTCCGTGGTGATAACAGTGCGGGTAGTTTGTTCGTGAGGCGTCGTCTTAACTGGCAACAATCGTACGATGGCACGATACAATCTCATCGTGCGATGAAATTAATGTACCTGTACATTATTCAAATCAATGTACGACGGCTTACGAGCTGTATTAGGACACTTCTGAAGAAATCTTTATGTTTGAAAATCTTCCCACGATGGGAACTCTCGTCATCATACGATCGTTTGCAATTAGGACGACGCCTAAGTGCCTGCATTGTGCGTGTCTGACAGTGTCTGGGTGTAGGTGGACTTGCGGCACATGGACGAGCAGGCGGGCAGCAACGTTGTGTCCGTGGGCGTGGACTTGTCAGAGTTCTACATGTCCGTCGAGTGGGACATCCTAGAAGTACCAGCTGTCAGGTATAATATAATATAATAACATACTATTTCCTACACTCACACCAATCAGCCTAGCCCCAAAGTAAGCATTGTAAGGCTTGTGTTATGGGATATTAGGGTAACGGAGAGAATACATATATAAGTATATTTTATCCAGAAATATATCTAAACATCCACGACTAAGGTAAAAATGGTCGTATTCATCATAGTAACATTTGCCGCCACCGGGATTTGAATCCGGGACCTCTGAGTGGCGACACCTTGAAACCCCGGCGTATATACCACTCGGCCACAGAGTTCCTCAATTGGTATGTTTATACTGTCCTTTTTTGTTACTATTGAACAGATGTTTCTTGGCCGATATAAAATTAACTGATCAAACGGATAACTGCAGACCTTGTAAAGCACACATTTTATCCTTTCTTTCCTGTGCTCGTGAAAATCATATGTGATTATGTTTTTATTTATTTTTAAGCATTTAACTGCTAGATATTTAAATCTAAAGAAAAGTTTACTAGAATAAAATCCACGCGGACCAGGCAGCGGACGGGACTCGAACCCGCACCTTTCGCAATCCGGGCGAAAGGTGCGGGTTCGAGTCCCGTCCGCTGCCTGGTCCGCGTGGATTTTTTTCTAGTAAACTTTTCTTTAGATTTAATCATATGTGATATTAGATGACTTAGTTATTTAATATCCTGAATTCAGTAACTATGAAGTATCACAGTAAGAGAAAGAATGGCTATTAATTCTGTACAAATCCTTATCGGAAAACTACAAAATGTAAGGAAATAGGAAAACATGATGAAAGTTGACGAATACTTTTAGTTGAAATTTAAAATACCTAAGTACAAATAGTACAAAATATTTTTAATCTGTATTTACAATGAAATTTGAAGTAAGTTTTCAAACCTTAAGAAGCTTCATACCAAGATTGTCATGATCGTTTTACACATTAAACAACTAGCCTGCCGCAGTGCCGGCAATTTAGTGAAAAAGTCTCAAGATTTCAGTGCGCAGATCAGATGTTAGCACGTACCTCGCAACGCACGTAATATTGAGGGTATTTGACAAGTTTTAGAAATCTATCTCACGTTATTTACTATTGTTTGTGGAGTCCATAAAAAGGGGACATTTTTAATTCTGTTGTCTATTATTCAGTAAAAAAACTAAATTAAAAATTAAATTTTCAAGTTGCCGCGAAAACGTTTCTCTGGTCATTATGGCGTCTCACTAGCGTGTGACGTCACACGACTGTCATTAAAACGTCATACGATACAATGTGATGTCACTTTGGCCGGAAGTATACTAGCGTGTGACGTCATTTGTTTCTTGGCCAATCCCAGGCATTTTCAGTCACGTGATCATGGAGCTAAAATATAATTTCTATTTAATGATTTTATAAAAAGGTTATTAATTAGTTCATCTTCAGAATAGTAAAATCGCTGCTAATATTCATATTAAGGGGTACATTGTTTTTCATAATTTCAAATGGCCTATTCAGCTTTCAAAGGCAACTTCAGAAACTTACATTGCGCGTGACCCGCCCGATACGCACTTGTTGGGTTTTTATACTTTTTTTTATCAAAGATTTGAGTGTGTTTGAACACAATCGCAGCTGATATGTGCATCATTATCTTATATATAAAATTCTCGTGTCATAATGTTAGTTACCATACTCCTCCGAAACGGCCTGACCGATCTTTATGAAATTTTATATGCATATTCCGTAGATCTGAGAATCGGCTACTATTTATTTTTCATATCCTTAAGTGATAATGGTTATCCACCTGTAACGTAGTGTTCTGAAACCTACAATACGCCTCCGCACCAAAATTCATACTATTGGGTATTGTAATGTAGTGTTCTCATATGGGTTAGGAGGAATGTCATCCCAGGAAATTTATAGAACACTACGTACGTTACACACCCCTAAAATTCTTTTTTGACAATATTTATTTTTTATAATGTGGTATTAAAAACACTTACAACCCTTAATTTTCTCTTCTATCACCTGCCCCTATTTTTATGGCGGTACGAAGTTCGCTGGGTCAGCTAGTAGAATATAAAATATTTATTTACTAACGACAAAATTAATGTTCTGTAAATAAGACGTAGATACAAAAATTTGATCGGACAACTTCCAAAAGCTTTGTCCACTAGTAACTTTATTTTTAAGTTAAAATCAAGCTTTGTTTTACCGCAGAGAGTTGATGACAAATAGAGGCCTCAGGTGTCCGCTTGTGACATACAAATGATTATACCTATTACAATGGAAACTTTTGTTCGGGATTTTGACATTATTTTTACTTACGGTTGAATTCCGTTCACTTTCAACTTCAACATAAAAGGAGATATAGAAGACCTTCGATTTTTGCCCAATTTTGTACCTTGGTACTATTCATCTCAAAAAACATCCAAAATTATTCTTAAAAAAGCTCATTCATCAAAATTTCTGAATGAATGAATTTCAGAATTATATGTATTTTCATGAGCTTGCAAATAATATTTTGTTATATTCAAATTTGCCAATCAGGTTTAATTTTTATGATTTCCGTAGTTTATTTTAATTAAACTTTAATGATACACATACACATGTTTAAACGACACATTTATGTGGTACAAGTGGATAATAAATTTCATTTATATTTTAATGAACTCGGCGAATTTTTCTACATATATATGCATGATCGATGCTCAGGAGCTCGATGGCGCAGGTGGCTCGCGCGTTCGGCTGCGATCGTTGAAGTTAAGCAACTTTCGAAGTTGTCAGTCATTGTATGGGTGACCAAAAATCTTCTATCTTGAGTTCCTCCGTGCTTCGGAAGGCACGTTAGGCCGTTGATTGGTGCCGGCTGCATCTGCAGTCGTTAGCACCCGCCAATCCGCACTGGGACCGCGTGGTGGTTCATGATCTCCCTATTCCATCCATAGTGAACGTCTGTGCCCATCAGTGGGGACATTAATAGGCTGTTGATGATGTTGATGATATGCATGATAACAAAGTTGTATAGAGAACAAAATGGATCCTTTTTATTAGAAAAGAATCCTCTCGGCCCATGTCATGCCGGATTGGATCCAGCACATTACGTATTCCATATAAGAGCACAGCCAGACAAATCTAATATGGCTAAACCAGTTTAAAAAATAAAAGGACATAAAAAGTGGAGCTCCCTCTTGGGGAAGTAGCCTCCACCTGACAGAAGAAAACAGAAAAATAACACAACCTTTTGGTGAAGATATTTCTGTCGATGTGTAAGGTTCCAAGGTGCCACGGGGTAGGGGATTGATCAGAGAAAGCAACGGCGTGTGTGATATTTTTGGTATTACAAGCGTCTATACCTAATGGTGGCCGTATACCATCAGTCGGGCCGTAAGCTTGTGTGCCACCCTTTTAAAAAAATATAATGACTGTAATATATCCATTTAATAACTTGCAATGCTCAAAAATTCTCAAACCGTCATAGCCTAGTAATAATTTTACGGTTTTTCCGTTACAGCCATATTTGATGACTTTTCGTTTCTTTTTCTCCCGCATTAATTCCTCACGGCACAACAGTTTTACGACCACAATAAAATTAAATACCCATTACATTAAGGAAAAAATTTCACGAGAAACTTTTTTATTGGTATGATGAACACAACGTTATTGTTCTATCCATAAAATATATAGGTATATCAAATGGGTAACTACTATATGTATTTCGTACTCCGAAATAGATTAACGTAGAAAAATATAAACTAACTGAATTCCTTTGAGTATCGTCCAAACGTTAAACTTGAAGAGGCTTTCAAGTCGAGTTATTTATTTAGTTTATGCTCGTGCTGGTTTCGAAATAAAATTGCGGTGCGTTACAGCCGCGGCATTGGGAGAAATATATTGTCGGTATTTACTTTCACTTAGGGCCGACGGACGACCCCGCAGAGTAAAGAGAGACGACTGCTGTTATTAGTGACTACACATAACTCTCCTCTGTGTTCTGCCCTTCTAATGAATAAAACCGTTGCTTTGAGATTTTTATAACGTTAGAAATTTTAATTAGTTCTATCGTAACGAACTATCGAGCTGCGTGACGATAGACGCTGGACGATAGCTTGACTGGCGGATTTTGACACAAATCAAAAGGATGGTGGAGGACGATAATTTTGTATGTGCAGGTGAAGAACGCTTCTTCATAAGCATATAGAACATTCATTCAGCTCCGAAAACATGGACGCAAATTTTTGCGTGATAAGTAGTGCAAGCTTCGTCGCGCAGGAATGGGAGAAGCCTAATAATAAATAAACAAAATACAATCGAACCTTTCTCAAATCTTCGTAAGACATGGTGACATTTGATTTTGATCCCATTGGCAGTTGATGGTTCAACTCAGATTACATAACAAACGGCAGATGTAACGCACGGAACACGCAAGTGGGGTCATCAAAGCAGAAATAAAGTCAAAAACATATTTTTTGTCTTTGTGCACAGTTTTTACAATGTTTGAACAAGGCGGCACTCTTTGGGACATATTCACAACACGACGCGTTGCAGTGTACTACCCGAGTTAGTATTCGTTTTTTCTTAGTATTTGCTTTGGTGGCTGCACTTGCGTGTTCCGTGCGTTCCATCTGCCTTTTGTTCTGTAATCTGAGGCGTTTAAGTTCAGTTATCTGCGCGCCCTGAAGCACCGAGTGCGGTTGTTAAGTCGTTCGCTAACACCACGCGTCCCTTTTATGACATGTATCAGCTTACGGCCGTTAAGCCCCGCCATAACTGTCCCGCATGTTTATCTGACCCATTGGTGTGAGTGGTTTCTAATGACTATCGTATTTTTTATGTGAAACTAAATTTGTAAACGTAAAAAGCAACCCTGGACTAGAATCTAGTAAAGAAACATCGTTTTCCACTTTGAATTTATACTGTTAATAAAATTAAAAAACTTACTATTAACAACAAAACATGATAATGAATCAAAAGAATATATTACTAGAAAAAAAATCCACGCGGACCAGGCAGCAGACGGGACTCGAACCCGCACCCT